CAAAAGCTATATCATGTGATGTAAAGAATTTAAAAATTTGCAAGGGTTATTATTATGCATATGCATATCAAGTGATATAGTGGATACATGCTTAACATGCTAAATAAGGCAATACAGATCATAAAAATGAATCTAACCAAAATGGATTGGGGAGCACATAGATGCACTCGACTGTACATTATATCTATATGTATATATATTTTTATATAGTTTCTTTATAAACAAAGCTAAGTGACTAACAATATCAAATATGAATTAAAAAATTATTATTTTTGAATATAAATCTGTTCTTGTTGTTCAAAAATACAAATATAAGTTATTTATTTAGAATTCGTTTGACTATCTTTAAATTAAACTAAATGTTCTTTCAATAAATTAAAATTGCAAGCCAAACGTTAATGAAACTATATCATTCTGATAATGTAAATAAATATTAATATCGATATCGATATGCAATTTATTAAAAATTTATTTTTCTAGATCACTAACAATTTTAGCGTACAAGATAACTTAATAGGATTATATAGTGAAATTTTTAGCTTTATTCTTTTAATGTTGGCTATATTTATTGGATGCGACTAGGCTTGCACCAAAACATACAACATAAAATTGCGTTATTTCCTTTGGTCCTTATTTTAACTAGCTTGAGGCCCTACAAAATCAAAACCAATTGTGATTTACTATATCAAACCAATAAATTACATTTTATAGTTTGATCATAATAATATGTCTGTCATATTATCAGGTGTCATATTAACTATAAACAAAACCAAAATTTTCTTTGGAAGTGAATTCCAAGCATTTTTTGCTAAATCTCCGCTTCGGTCATGTCGGTCATTTTAGTTGTGTTTCTTAATACTTGCTAACACTGAGCTTTTGAAATATATTCGATTCTGAGGTTTAGGATCATCCAAGAATGTGGAAATAACTGGAAAATAACACAAATCGACTTCTAACTCTTCGTTATCTTTAACATCAGATCCTTACATTAGACCAACATGAATTGGTTCGCCAGTCTTAAACCTCTCTTAGTTCAGATATAGGCTGATCCAAAAACGAAGTTCAAGTAATTCAAGCACAAGATCATAGATTCGTGCTTGCATTTCTTGAAGCAGTTTTCGGTATTGGTTTGGTTGATCATTTATAATGTCACCAAGAAATTTGATCGTAGGATTCCCATTCCTTCTTATGAAAGCCACGTGCCCTCAAGTCAGCATAAACTTATTGATAGGTGTAATTAGAGATGGCAAATGCGCGCATAGTAATACGTATAATGATCTACATGTACATATATAGTAATTATGATGTGAATTCATAATGATTTTATTTTTCTATAACTATTTATCAATAATTATCACTATCACTTGATGTTTCTAATATAACATCACTATTATCTGATATATTAAATTGCTCATTATCATTACCATCCTGATATTCACTTTCATTATTATCCTGATATTTGCTTTCATTACGCTCATTACCAGCATAATATTGATTGACACTTATTTCATCATTAATGCTATTTTTTTTGATTATCTGGAGGAGTTTGTAATTTATATTACTATAAATATAAAATTTGCTTACTACTTAACTGATTTCTTTTTTTGTTATAAATATTTGCAAAAGCTGACCAGTTATGTTCAGAAGCTGCAGATGATGTTGGAATTGTTAAGATATGTTGTGCTAATTGTGTTAATTCAGGCACTGCTTGTGCAAAATTCGCAATCCACCAAGTAATTGGATCAATATTATCAGTGCACTTCCATGTTAGTGTATTACTGAAATGATCTGATTTTGCTTTGCATTGCATAAGTTAACTTCCAGGCGAATTGGCATTGAGTAAACTTGTATTAACAATTTTTGGATTTTCAAAGCTCATACCAAAAAATGATCGTTTAACTTCAATTGAGGCATTCGGACATACACGCAGATGTGACTTACACCGAATTACTGAATTATTGCATTGATTTTTGCAATTTTCACAGTATTTACATTCTGCACGCTGTTGTCGAAATCCAGCAATATGACCAATTTGATTAAAATGTTCCCATATAGAACTTCGAGAAGCCATAATGATAAAATATGTATTACAATAAAGATGATGTTTTATACGTATATTCTGTATCGGTATAAATGCATTGGTTTATTTATTGAATACAAATGCCTTAATTGGTGATGATTTATGAACTTTAACCATATGCATAATTGTGTACGGGCAATTTTACGATATCGGTTAGTAACTATGCGCATAGAAGTGTAATACATCTGATTCAACTCGACGTGTTGAAAGTTTTTCTGCAAGAGGCATAGTTCTTAGGTATGAAATATAATAAATGTTCAGCAAATTCATATTTATGCTTATTTTCAAATTCACAGTTTTCAGTAATATTTTCAACAAAATGGAAAACCCGCTTAACTATTAAACGTTGAAGAATACAACACAATTTTCCATTTTCTTCAGATATTTTTGTCCCGCTATAATTTTTTTAAAGGAACTCGTCTGTCTGCTTTGTCATATTTACGATTTTCTCCTCTTCTATTTTGACCGCATCAACAACATCTGCTTGAATTCTTTCAATATCTTTGATAAGCTTGAAGGATTGACTATGAAGATCGATTATTTTTTCATCCTTTTTTTGAATTTCTTGCTTTATAGCAAAATGTTCACAAAATGGGTTTATTTGATTTTGTAGTTCTTGTTTCTGTAACTCAAACTCTTCTTGCATTTGCTGTTTTTCAGTTTCAAATTGAATTCAGTGTGTTTCTTTATGTTGATGAAAAACTATTACCTCGGATTTTTTCCTCTATTTATCGTTGCTTTTTTGTGACGCATTTGATTTATGACTACATTCTTAAGTTCATTAATAACAGGTAGTTGAATTTTTTCTCTGGTTCTTTAAATTTTGATTCTTCTAATTCCGCGAAGTCTATTAATCTTTTCATCTTTTTCTTTAACCACTTGAAGAAACAAATCGAAATTTTGATTAAGCGAGTCACATTTGACTTGATGCTTCTTTATATCGTCGATTAATTCTTCCTTGCTTAATTTATTCAAGTCTTCCACGCTCAGTTTTTTTACCTGTGATTCATCGTTTTTTGTTAGTCGCCTATTGCTCTGAAAATTTATGTTTCGAAGTTTGCTCGATCTGAATACAAGTTCTCTCTATCTTTTTTGAATTTGTATCTGCATCGTATCGAAACTTCAAGCGAATTATTTGCAGCTGCAAGCATGTCAATCTGCGCCATAGAGATATAACTCTTACGTCAGCGAATTTTCGTATTTTTCTTCTAACACTTTACATCTTCCATTCCGCAATTTTTGCTTCTTTTTTGTAACGCAAATATAGTTCAGAATAATTTCCATAATTAAAGTAATCAAAGTCGAACGTGCCTTTAAATTTTTGGAAAGCAATGGTACGAAAGACAGATAATTTAACTTATGTAAATTTTCGATTATATTAGATTCGATAGATTTTGATATTGTCCAATTCGTTTCAATAAACCTTCTAGTTCATTCTTACGATTATTTTTACAATAATTTTGTTGCCATTCGGAATATTCGTCAATTATTCTAACTGCTGTTCCTTTATTGCTCGACTGGAGACTGATTTTTGATTCATTTATAATTTTCCGAAGTTCCATACACTCTTTTTCAATGCGTGCTTGTTCGTAATTGTTATTTGTTGACATAATACAAATAAAACATATTTAATAATTCATTTTCATAGCATGCACTGAGAAAGTTCTTTGTTTCTGTAATTGAAAGTATCATTTGTCTGTGGTGGTTTTCGAATTACAGTCTGTAGAGAAGCTCCTTTGTTATCATTTTTTTTGTTTTTTTGACCATGTAGATTCGTTTTTCTCTTTAAAAATAAAATAAACCAACCACAACCGACCGCAGTGTTTTACAAAGTTAAATCATTTTCAGTCATGTACAAAATAGCGGCCTTTTAAAAAACAATCATTGTATGAAATAATCCATTAACTACAGTCAAACCTCTCTATAGTCACTGCACTTTGGAAAGCAAAATTGGGCGACTATAGAGAGGTGTGACTATATTTTGTTAATATATGTATTCGATAAAAACCGTCTATTAGTCAAATTGCAATTGTGTCCCGAATACATATAACGATACATTTTTAAAAGGCTAGATTTAATTTTCGAATATAAAACATTATTCACATGAAGTGACTTTAAAATGACATAATATCGTGGTTAACAATTTGAAAATGCTTAAATAACTCTTAATGAAGTATTATTAATGAGAAAATAGAAATTGAAAAGTGATTAATACAATATTTTGCATTCGGACCGTTGTCAAAGGTACTGAAACTATTAATAACGAAAAGTATATAGAAATTTTTAACTTTTTATGTCTATACATGTATTTCAAGAAGATAATACATGTCCCCTTAAATGAGTCGAAAAAATAATATTGGATCATTTTTTGCTGCACAAAGACTCGAACTTATTGAGCTTCTAAAAATGAATCTGAATTACTAATTGCACTGAAGGAAGAATGGAAATTAATTGAGCCTAAAACTTTAAAAATTAATAGATAGCATGCCTCGTAAAATTAAGCTATCCACTAAACATTAAATTATATGTATTGATAACTTTTCTTTTGCAGGATTTAATTTGTTTTAATGTTTGGGACATAATTGAATTTCTCACGTATGGCTTATTTTTCTTTCTATTGTATTTCTTATTTCTTATTTTTTATTTCTATCCTAAACAATAAGATCGTATAATAATTTTTTGGGAAATCTTAAAAAGGCAAAGCAATTAAAAAACGTATAAAAGCTGTTATTTTAAAACAATTAAAAAAAGGAGTAGAATGAACAATTAATTACCTTCGCCAATGACTATTACTAATAAACTCTACTCAGAATCGCGTAACATTCTTCTGCTAGTAAACGTTATATTGTTTACTAGAAAAAGATGTTGGATAAGAAATCTGTTTTGCGAATAAGACGCATTTAATTATAAGTAACTGACGAGAGTTATTTTATCAAAAACTTTAATATTTTTATTTTTTACTCGTTTATGAACTCCGAAGTAATTTGTTTTGAATTGTAATTTTTTCAACGTAACTTCAGTTCTCCAACAAGGTTGCTTTATAATTTTCCCAAAACCTTTTTTTTGAAATATATTCAACGTTGGTAAGTCTTAAAAAATTTCGAATGATTCATATTTATTAATTCTTTTATTAGATTGTTGATTTCTTTATTTCCACAAAACAAATTTAGGAATTCGTTTGTGCTAAAGGAAACACTCTTCGCGGTATCCATTTTTTACACTAGATTTATTACAATCATGAGATTCGATTCCATCTTTAAATTTCATATGTTTAGCATGGATATATTGCCGATATTTCCGATTACCGAGTTTTTTCCTACAGCGTGGGTTGTGAGAGAGAGAAAAGACTAATGATGTTTGTAAGCTTCAAGTGCTTGTGCTGATATCCACGGATATCGTTCAATCGTTGTGCTGAATGATTACGGAATACGGGATTAGCAAGATGACTTGAGGAGTGGAATTTGACTTATAAACGATTTTATTTAATATACTAATTCTAAACAAATGCTTTTTCTAGCAATGCCTTAAATTTTACCTCATCGAGTTCAAGTAATTATGCAATTACGATACCTTTTCCCTAAAAACCTATAATTGCGAAGAGTCTTACAAGTCCTATTACTTGGGGAAGAATTTTATGCAAAAATATTCTGATTTTATTAGAGCTTTTGAGCCTGTCTATATACAAATTTTGGGAATTACAAGGTTAGTAGTAGATTATAGATACAATGGAAAACTAATATTGAAGGATGGATAGTATTGAAAAGATAAAATGATGGATAGAAATCAAGTTAGAAGGTAAGTTAGATTAAAGAATAGTTTAAGATAGAAATAAAGATATTGTTTCCGTCGCAACGAAAGTCTCGTGATTACGAATTCTGCACGATGTCCCTAATTAGCAAAGTTTTACGAAAAACATTAAAATAATTGTTCCTACTGTCTCGTATCAACTGAACCAACCAAAATTTCACAAAATTCCTGCTGTCACGCTCGATTCAGAAGTTACTATAGTTGGATTATAAGATGCCTGGATATCTGGAATGCTTGTATATTCTTTTTTCCTTTTCAATGATGTAATGTACATTGGGTAGTTAAAGGGCGACCAGATCAAGACTGAATATATCCGAGTTTTCGTTCGTTTTTTCGTTTAAAATTCGCCATAATCCGAATCTGAAACTTTTTCTTTATGATTATAATTCTTTTCATCAAAAGGTAAGCATTAATAGACTGATTCAAAATTAAATAATATATAAAAATTAATTTACTTCATGACGTTTTAATCCTTTCATAAAGTTACTTTGCTAAAAGATCATTTCACATCAGCATAAAACAAAACTTATATTTTGAGAATCTAGTAATGCAATTGTTTTAGTTTTCTCATAACGCTTCTTGACAATTTTGTTACAATGTAATATTATTTTAGCTTTATTTTAAATAATACAATTGGCAAGAGCTACTAAAAGCTAACTAATAAAAAATAAAGAACAAATTTGAAATTTAATTGACATGAAAGCAATTACATAAATAAATATGTAAGATACATATTATTGATTACATGTATATTTTATTGGAATATCGGTTAACAAATATGCAGTACTCCAATAAATACCGGTATTTTTAGTCTATTAATTCAGAAAATTCATTAATTACATGTATGAATAAAAGAACAGCGCTAAAATGGATAACATACCTCATTGAATCTAATAATATAAGTATCGCACGGCAATTGATCCGGGAAATCTTCTGCAAAACGATGATTGCCTTCAGTTGTATTAGCATTCTTTATAAGAGTCTTAATCGTTTCATTCCTACTAGTTAGCATATAAATATCCAATAAGGTGATTTCATTTGGTAATTTTGTTTCAAAAGTATAGTCGAGTGTAATGCTCTTTTGTGGGCTATTATACTCTTGACCCGACGTCGGTTCGTTTATCGTGTATTTGAATTTACCATTATAGGTGGGTGGTTTGAATTCATCTGCTTGCGTTGAAGCCAGAAGAAAAATCGTAAAGATAAGGAAAAAGGTCACAGAAGGTTTTGTTTGCATTTTTTAATCGAGTGAGTTATAGACTGCTGGAATAGTGCGAGGTCTTTCTTTTATAAGGATTACAAGAAATGAGGCAGAGTCGTCATAAGGATTTTTTAATTACATGTAAATGTACGTAATAGATTTATTGCATCATAAATTAGCCAAGCCTGTTAATGTTGTGTTGATAGAATGAACTTTTTTAGATTAGATTCTTTTTATTTTTATAACCGTCAAAGCGATTCGTAGTTAATAAAGTGAATGAGAGCTTTTGCTTTTTATAGATATTACCTTTTAGGTATAGCTTAACTTTTATTTTATGCATGTTTGTTCTCAGAGAAACTACGAAAATAAATAATTAATCTTACAATCGAATAAAAATAATGAATTAATATAATTGATTGAACCGTATTTAGTAAATACAACCGAAAACTAACTTTTTCCAAGATCACCCTTCTCTATAGATGTACATGTACAATTACGTACATGTACTATCTTATTACATGTACATGTAATACATGTAGTCCGAGAACAATGCGATACTTTGTGATTATAGCAACTAGTATCTAAACCACTGCAGCCACAATACATAATTCACGATCAACCCATGAACGTCTGAAATCGATATTGTTACGTAGTAACGGGAAGGGACGTGTCAGTTCATAATTTCCTCCGTAATTACCCGATCCCGAACCCTCCTATAATTCTTGGACTAATAACTAAACAACATCTCGTAAGTTTAGTTCTGCCTTGTTTGTTATAACTTTCGACGACCAATTAATCTCTTGAGGAACATACATATTTAATAGCGTGTAATATTCTAGATCGAGGTTTCTTGACATTTATGTCGCTACTCTCCAGCACCTCTATATTATTGTCATTCGTATTGTTCTTGAACTTTTTGTGTACAAACGATAATACTACCGGAAAGATAGATAATAGATATAATAATGATTTAATTTGTATATAAAGACAGAACATTAGCCTTTGGACGATATCCTCTAATCAAATAAAAATAAAGAATTCTTATTGTAATAATTCCTTTACTATGAATACATACATTTTTATTTGATTATCTTCGATTTGTAGTTTATGGTTAGCTGAAACCTTTATTTTGTTGCAGGTGACCAGAAACTTTCTCGAAACCGTCTTGTTATTAGTGTAAACTCCTTTTATTGTAGGTCAGCAGAAACCTTCTTCACACCCTTTTCAACATTAATCCAGATTGATTTGCGTACAAGTCGCCACAGGATACTTTAAGAATGTTAAAGAAATCCTTTTCTGTAAATCAGTCAGATTTTTTCTTGTTGCACTCATCTTAATCCCACTGATCCACGAAGAGTGCGCAATAGTAGTTAGCCAACAAATTGATGAAATTGATTACCGCCTTGGAAATCGCCATCATAAAATTAATCGGTTATTTCGGAACGCAATATTTCGGCATCAGTAGTGCCGACACAGTGATAATAAAAATCACATGTTTCAGACCAATGGATGCCGAAATCTCGCGTCCCGAAGTACAGATAGTACAGATGAATAAATTATTTCGGAACAGTGTCAAATGATTTGATCCACGTGATTTACTACCATTTGATTCGTCAAGATTAATCAAATGATAGGCATGTACAGTGGCCTATCAAAAGTCACCGGATATCATGTGATCCCCAGTCGTTTTGCAAATAACACTGTTCGTTTGAATTAGATTTTCTCCACAACGACTTTGTTGATTTCATTATTCTTTTTTTTCCTTGAATTTACTTTACTTTGA